AATAAACCGGATTAGTTCCGAGCATTGAAGCGTAAACTATTGCTCTAAAATTCTCAACATCCGAAAATATTTTGGTGCAGAGATTTGACACGTGTGAGGACTGGTGCGAAATTATAACCTCTGCGACTATCGTGACGTAAAGATTCCTTTTAAAGAATTTAGTATATTCTTCTCTGGATATCGTCGATCTTCTAAAGATGTTTTCGCCGACACGCGCAAACAATACCGAAAGCAAATCGAATGAGCTAACCTTAACTGCGAGTGTTGGCGCGACAACGTGTACGCTACCCAGCTCAAATGTTCCAGACCTTTCGCTGCATGGTTTCTCGCAAATTGCTACATCTATAGATGGGTACGCACAGGCAGGGGAACGTGCGCGTGTAAGTAACGTGACTGCAACAATAGATCTGGGTGCTAAAGGCTCGCAATGTGCTACATCTATAGATGGGAACGCACCGGCGAGCTGCGCTACTGAGGGTAGTTATGCGGCACCTACGACAATCAGGCAGGGCAATCCTTCATTCGATTCTGTACTAAATTTGCAAGCGCTAAGGCAAGTATTTACACCACCTAATATGGTAAGAGCAGATATTTTCTCGCCAGACAATCCATTTGATACCGAAGCTCCGCATGGAGCTGTTTCGAGTCCACCTGTTGCGTGGCCCGCAAACTCCACGGTTCCTATTAGTATGCCTCCGCGTTCAGGGTATATATCTACATCAACACAGCCATTTCATTTCTATATACCTAGTAGTCAGTATGCTCCTCTAAGCACTACAACGCAACGAACGCACGTCTTAGGCACAAGTCACCCCTTCCATTCCACCACTCTTCATTATGACGACGGCTTAGCAGGTGCCGGGTTCAGCGCACCACAAACCACGCCATATCAAACCGTACAAACTACAAAACAAGCATCGCACTCAACCACAGTTCCCGCTAATCAACAATTTCGTTTTTATAATGCGAACTCAGTTCCAATAACTGCGCCTGTTCCGACAGTTTCTTCGACGGGCATATTCACCGCTTCGATTCCATCGCATGTACCTGGTGGTTTCTACAGTAGGCAACAAGGCGCGAATGGGTATGCTTCGCTTTCTCAGGGCCCAATGGTCGATTGCACATTGTCCACAATGCAGATAGCATCCAGGCAGGTTGTAAATAAAGAGTTACCGGCATTTTCTGGCAAACCAGAAGAATGGCCTTTATTCATTGTTAATTATGAGCAATCGACTGAGCGGTGCGGATTTTCAGAAGCGGAGAATCTTATCCGCCTTCAACGCTGTCTGAAAGGTGCTGCTTTAGAAGTAGTTAAAGGCAAACTAATGACACCTTCAACCGTAACACAAGCCATCGAAACTCTTCGCATGTTATACGGCAGACCTGCCGTCATACACCAAGCATTACAACGAAAGTTAAGGAAGGAGCCGGCAGTTCGGCACGACAACTTAGAAACTCTTATACAGTTTGCTCTTGCGGTCCAGAACTACCGTTCGACTATGCATGCTATTGGACTTTCGGCGTACTTAAACGACCCAATGCTTCTGTCCGATTTATTAAGTAAGCTGCCAAGCGACTTAAAACTCGAATGGGGTAGGCAGGTAGTAAATATGACAGAAACTGATTTAGATAAATTTGACGACTGGCTCTTTAAATTAGCGACGTGTGCTAGTCAGGTAGTCTCTGTGAGCGCAACAACAACTGTAAGCGAGATAAAAGGAAAACACTCGAAGTCCAGACTTCTAGTGCATGACGTAGTTGAAAATAATAGCAATAAAGTGAAGGGCCATCCACAACAACAATGCCTTTATTGTCAAGAAGATCATAATTTGCAAAAATGTAAGAAGTTTTGTTTATTAGCTATTAAAGAGAGATGGCAATTTATACGTGAGAACAAACTGTGTATTAGATGTTTTAAAAAGCACTTTTTGAAAAATTGTCGTTCTCAAAGCCGTTGTGATATCAATGGTTGTACAAAACCACATAACGCTTTGCTTCACGCAGATGATGTAAAGGCGCTTAATGATACTGCTGTTATGCTACATACTAAAATAGAATCAAATAAAATAATGTTTCGTTATGTTCCGGTCACGTTATATGGAAAGACACATTCAATAGAAACGTATGCGCTAGTCGACGAAGGGTCAGCATGTACTTTACTGGAAAGTGACATCGCGTCGAGTTTAAGCCTGCAAGGACCGTCCCGAGAGCTCTGCTTAAGATGGACTGGAGATATCACCCAATCCGATCCAACTTCAAAACTGGTAAGTGTTGACATCTCATCAAGCGACAATTCGTCGCGATACACCTTGCGTAATGTTCGCACAGTGGCAAACCTCGACCTTCCCATGCAAACACTATCTGAATCGGTATTGAATTCTCGTAAACAGTTAAACAAATTGCCGATAAAGCCTTATGAGTCTGTGCGTGCTACTATTCTGGTCGGCATAGATAATGCGAAACTGGGCGTACCTTTGGAAGTGAGAGAAACTAAAGGCGATCATCTCATTGCCGCTAAATGTAGATTAGGTTGGGCGGTGTATGGCCGCGTCAGCGCTGTTTGTGAGACTTCCAACAGAGTTTTACATATTTGTCCGTGCACTGCCACAGAACGCCTGGATGACATTATTAAAGCTAACTACGCTTTAGAAGCGGTAGGTGTATGTAAAACCGACGACCCCCTAAAATCCAAAGCAGATGAGCGCGCGTATGCTATTATGAGATCCACAACTAGATACCTGCCTCTTGAAAAGAGATACGAGACAGGACTGTTGTGGAAGTTTGACAAGATAGTCACGCCCAACTCTCTGCCTATGGCAATGCGGCGTTTGAATTGCCTTGAAGAAAAAATGATACGGGATCCTAAGCTGATGGATTTTTTAAACAATAAAATTAGCAGCTACGAAGAAAAAGGTTATATCCGTAAGCTGAAGAAAGGCGAATCTATCGTATCAGAAAAGACCTGGTTCTTACCCATCTTCACAGTTGCGAACAAAAACAAGAACAAAACTCGGATCGTATGGGATGCCGCCGCTGCGGTTGAGAACGTTTCGTTAAATAGTTATTTGATGTCAGGCCCAGATCTTTTAACGTCCCTAATCGGCACACTGATGCGATTTCGCGAACGGCGCGTGGCTATCGCAGGGGACATCCGTGAAATGTTCCATCAAATTCGTATAAGAGATGAGGACCAAGCGTCTCAATTATTTTTATGGCGGAACGGAAATCGGTCGAGGCAACCTGATGTGTATGCAATGATGGTAATGACTTTCGGAGCCGCCTGCTCACCGTCTTTGGCAAACTATGTGAAAAACGAAAACGCATCGGGTTTCAGCAATATATACGCGCATGCAGTCAACACGATTCATAAAAATACCTATGTTGACGATTGGTTACACAGTGCTGACGACGAAGAAGAGTTGATCGAATTGGCATCACAAGTTAAGTATATACATGGAGAGGGCGGCTTCGAAATGCACAATTGGCTCTCTAACTCAGAAAGAGTGCAGCAAGCGATTTCAGGTTCGAAAACACAAGCAGAGAAGTGCCTTGAGGAATCAGGTACCTTGGTTGAAAAGGTTTTGGGAATGTGGTGGCTTCCACAAACGGATGAACTGACTTTCGTGGAGAGGTTTGACAAGTCGGTCTTCGAGGAAAGTGCTGTCTACACAAAGCGTATTATTCTGCGCATCATCATGACGATTTATGATCCCCTGGGATTATTGGGGTTTTATTTAATCCGGGCAAAAATCATAATGCAAAACGTTTGGCGTAGCGGCGTGAATTGGGATGATGCGATTGGCGCTAAAGAACGGGAGGAGTGGCAATCATGGGTGCGATTACTGCCTGAAATAGGCTCTCCGGGTAGGTGAGATTTTGGAATCGTCGAACCCCTTTGACTGGCGTTGGGTGCCATCAGCTGAAAACGTAGCCGATGAAGGCACAAAGTGTAATCAACACGCACGGATGGATGGTGATTCGAGATGGTTTCGTGCCCCCGAATTTTTAGTTTTACCACCGAAAATGTGGCCTGAAACGCACTTACCCGGCAGCACAGCTCTTGAAGTACTACACCATATTCAAATCGAGCCGACGTCAAACTTACCATTATCGACGATTATGCCAAAAGCCGAGCGATTTAGTAAATGGGAAAAATTTCGCGCTGCTCAAAGAAATGTTCTGCATTTCCTCCAAAGATTGATCCGGAAGCCAGCACAATCGAAGCATCTACAGTTAGCCCTTTCGTGTCCCACAATCGAAGGCGCTCAGAACCTGATCATTCTAAACTGCCAACTCGAAGCCTTTGGCGAAGAAATCAACTGCTTACAACGAGGATTATGCGTGAGTCGAAAAAGTCTAATTTTTAAATGCTCTCCTTATCTAGATAATGCCGGAATCCTCCGCGTTAAAGGAAGAATCGACGCAGCAAAAGGCATTCAATTTGATGCGAAAAGGCCAATTATCCTGCCAAGCAAGAGTCCTGTTACTTCACTCATCGTTGATTTCTACCATCTTAAGTACCACCACTTACATAACGAAATCGTTGTGAACGAGATTCGCCAGAAATATTGGATAAACGCTTTAAGGGCGTTGGTATCGTCAACTGGCAGGCGCTGCTGCAAGTGCATTACACGCAAGGTACAACCGCAAGCACCGGAGATGGGTAGATTATTTCGGCCCTATTGATGTGCTGGTCGGCAGACGACGTGAAAAACGGTGGGGCGTGCTCTTCACGTGCCTCACCGTCAGAGCCGTGCATATCGAGATTAGCCATTCGCTCTCAACTGATGCCTTTCTTCTTGTTTTCAAACAATTCACAAGCCGACGTGGCGTGCCGCGGCGTGTGCTATCAGACAATGCTACGAACTTTCGCGGAGCGAGCAGAATCCTTCTGATGGAGATGGAAAGGCTCTCTTCAGACGACATCGAGCAACGTTACCCGGAAATCGAATGGTGCTTTATACCCCCTAACGCACCGCATATGGGTGGAGCATGGGAGAGAATGATTCGCTCCGTAAAGTCTATCCTCTTCGAAATTCTACGCGAAGAGGCTGTTCAAGAATATGTTCTAAGGGCTGTACTAGCTGACGTGGAGTGTATACTAAATTCCAGGCCGCTCACTTATGTGCCTTTGGAGACGCCAAATGATGAGGCTTTACCCCCAATCATTTTTTGACTGGCAGTTCGAGCGGTCTGCGTGAACGTGGTACTGAAGATGATAGTGGCATAGCACTACGAAGGAATTTTAGAAATTCATCGCAAATAGCAGATCGATTTTGGAAGCGCTTTGTACGAGAATATTTGCCCTGCCTGACACGGCGTAGTAAATGGTACGAGAATCCCCCAGATCCGATTGTTGTAGGCGACATTGTCATAGTCGTAGATGACAAAAGCAAACGTAATACCTGGCTAAAAGGCGTGGTTATGGAAGTGCACCGTGCGAACGACGGCCAATCTCGTAGTGCCGTTGTTAACACCGCCTCAGGGATGATGACTCGGCCTGTGGTCAAACTGGCGAAGCTGGATCTAGTTCAGTAAATTTTCAGACGGCGCTTCAAATTTACGAGAGGGGGAATGTTACGGGGACAGCCAATTAACTCGTCGCAGCTCGTTAAATTATTG